GTGCAGTTGAGGGCCTGGGCCCTTTACAGTTGGGCACGGCCAGTATTTCCAGACTTGGGCCGTTTGCTGCATTTGCACAGGACCCGGGTATGTACATCGTCAATGCTGCTTTTTCGCAGGCCCGTAGCCACTTCGTAATGTATCTGCCTTGCATTGTGTGTGTGTGCCCTGGGCCCAACTATACGACACAGCACAGGGAGGCTCATGCTTCCACTCAACCAACCGGCGTGCTGCAACTGCATGTGTACCCACATATGGAATGTCAAATTTTGGCCTCTGGTGAATATTCAGGCCCGCCTTCACTTAGGGCGGGCACTTAGCTTGCTTTGCACAGATCATATGCATGTCTGACAAAGGCCCCGCGAGGGCTCATTCCTTGTATTCCATCCCCCTTAGCTTCGAAAGTCCGCTGAGATGCTTCATGCAGTTGCCTTCCCCTTCAGTCTTCCTTCGTACTCAGCCACATTCTGAGGAGCTGCCTTGACAAGTTCCTCCCTTGTGAACCAAGGATCTTCCTTTGGATCCGTATGATGCCTGAACAGGACTCTGTACTCTCTACTCTCTCACACGTGGTTAACGGGGCACCCCTAGTTTCAGCTCATGAGTAACAGGTCCAAAACTGAAATATGGTGTGCACTCTATGGAATGATGCAATTTTTGGTTAACAAGGGCTTCTGGTTTTCTTATAAATAGCATTAAACAAACGCTGGATTTTTGGGTCTCCGTTAACCGCCTCTCTACTCTCTGATAGGTTTAGGCGGTCTTCCCCTGCAAGTTGGCTTGGGAATAGGCATGTCTCTGTGTTCCAAGATGTCATCGACGTCCACGTGGAAATCCATGGTTGGGGGCAGCATAGATCTCCTGGATGGGAACTGCTGTGTCTCAGCGAAAGGTGCAAGCTTTGAGGCGTGAACCACAGGGTAAGTGCATAGGTGACCAGGGACATGAATCACGTACGAGGGATCATCCTTTTCACTACCCAGAATATCTAAGACTTCCCAGGGACCGAAATACTGAGGCATTAGTTTCCTAGAGATGCCAAACTCCTGTCCCAACTCACTAGCCTTAACCCAGACACATTCCCCTACGTGAAAAGTTGACTGTCGGTGATGCTTGTTCTCAGAAGCAATCATAACCTCCTGAGATTTCTTTATATGTTCGACAGCCTGCTGCAGAAACTTCTCATACTGGACACCGAATTCAATGGTTCCAGGAGTTGCAGCAGATTGGTTCTCAGGCAGGAGGAAGTCTAGAGCAGATCTAGGCTTCCACCCCAAACACAGCTGATTAGGAGTGACACCGGTGATGCTGTGTACAACATTGTTGTACAGACCGGCGATGAGAGGCAACTTCTCATCCCAGTCGTCTTGGCTGGGCTTTATGAAGTGCCTCAGCAGATGCTGCACCACTCAGTTCATTTGTTCAGCCTG